CCTGAGATCTTGAATACTTTTCTGTAAATCCAGGATCATGTTTATGATTTTATTCTGAAATTTTTATCAAGAAGATTGGTGATATCTGTTTCATTTAGCCGTCTTTCTGGGATTCTGTCTTATAGTTTTGTTTGCATCAAATACCCCTGTCTGCTCATTTTGTCAGAGATTCTGTGTTTCTTCCTTGGTATTAGATGTCTCTGCTATGCTTTCTGGTCTAAAGAGTAATAGCTTTATGAAGAAGGTGTGCTGTGGTGCCCAGAGGCTCAAGATTCTTTACTTTCTAGTGCTTGTGTCTATTTTGTGGGGACCCCAGTTGTTGGCATGCTGTGGGTGGTTACCTTTTTGTCTAGTTTCTGTAGTGGTCTAAATCTGGGTGTCAGTTTGAGCTGCTGTCTTGTGATCAGCTCAGGAATCTCTGTTGAGCTCTCTGTGGGCAGGGCTGCCCTATGCCTGGTCTGCATCAATGGCAGGGCTGCAGGGTTAATGGGGTGAGCAGACCAATGTGCACCAGCTGGACACACAACCTGGGATTTGGACACCCATAGGAAGGAAGGAACTCTTGGGGCTGGTTCCTCCAGGTACCCTGGGTGGGCTGAAGTGGAGCCAAACAAGCTGGGAGTGTGTCCTGCCTGAAAGGCAGAAAGTCTGATGCTGCTACTGAGCCACGTGGGTTGGGCCCCAGCAGTGCACAGGGAGGAGCCTCGGGGCTGTGTTTCCAGCAAGAGGGATGGAGCATCTGGAGCTCCCTGTCTGTTGGGCTGAGGACTGGGGAGGCATTCCCCACCTGCCCTTTCTACTGAGGAAAGAGTTCCATCCAACCCTCATCCCCTCTGGTACTCCTCCCACTGATGGAAAAGACTTTCAAACTGCTACTTCTGCTTTGGATCTCAGGACTGGTGAAGCATGCCTGCCTTCTGCACTGGCTGCAGTCTCAGCCTCCAAGAGTGTTCCACCTGTTCCTGGTGTCCAGCCCCAGTAATCACCAAAATCCAGTGTAATGTGGGCTCATGCTCCTGGAGCAGATCTCCAGGTCCAGGTGTGCACTGCTCCTGGACTCCTACCCCTCCCTGCTACTTTCCTGTTTCTCCCACCAGTAGCCTGGTGTCAGGAAGGGCTTGGGTCCCACTCAGTCTCAGCTTTGCTGCCTCACCCTTTTCTTTGTGCTTTCTCTTCTTTCTCAGGTGTAGGGGGTCTGCTCTGCAGTCCGCAGGTCATTTTTAAGTCTAGTTGCATTGGGTGTATTTTCCTCTCTTATGTGTTCAGTAGGTTTCCATATTGTCTTCCTCTTCTGCCATCTTTAATCTGATAATCCCCTAATTCAACATTACTTTATGAATTTGTTTGATCATATTATTTCAGCATTGGTCATGGGGAGCTCTTTCAATTACCTCCTATATTGCTTCACTGTGGCTTTTTTTTTTTTTTTTAGTAGTTCCTTAGTTTCTGGCATTACGAGATGCTCTTGGATCATCTTGTATATACCCCACCCCAGCCTTAATTTCTCTAAGGAGCCCAGGTCTCTTTTATTGGAAAGTTAGAAATCTTGGCATTAGATCCCAAGAACTCAGTGCTAGGTGTGTTCTCTGATCCCAGGGTTCTCACTGCTTCTATGTCCCCTCAGCTGTCCAAGTAAGGATGTACATGTTTGTGTATACCACAGGTGTACACACCTGTACTTGACCCTTGAACTACCTAGGGATTAGGGATGCCAACCCCTGTGCAGTTGAAAATCCATGTTTAGCTTCTGACTTTGTCAAAACTTTAACTAATAGTTTGTTGTTGAACAAAAGCCTTGCCAATAACATAAACAGTTGATTAAAACATATTTTATATGTATTATATACTATATTTTTATAATAAGTTAAAGAGAAAATACTTCCTCAAATTGTCACAAATCTCCCCAAATTTTCCATTCATTTAATGAAGATAATCTATATATAAGAGGATCCATGCAGCTCAATCCCATGTTGTGCAAAGGTCAACTGTATCTAGGAATATTTTTACATGTATAGAGTATCACTTTTGACAACAAAGTCATTACTCCTCAGTGGAAAAACTTTCTCTGATACAATAGGATATTTAAATCTTATAACCTAAAATTTCACTTCAAAGAAAAAGAAGAAAAGATTGGCTTTGGGGATATTTTGGTCCATTTTACATATAGGATTGTCTTTTTAAATGATTTCTCTTCTAATCTTCCCCTTCCTCCATGTTTTTCCCTGACTCTCAGAGGTGATTTATTTAGTCTTAAATTGTGCTCATTTTCTTGTCAGTGGTGTGGTAGGAAGTTTGTAGAAGTTGGCCAGAATGGCAGCGGGGGCCACAAGTCTCCCTGGCTGAACCAATGCACTTATTTAAGCACCTAATAGAGTTTGAGCTGCGTGAGATGTCTTAGGAATCTGACCTGGGGTTACTGGTACTGGGGCTACAGGTACTGGTAGCAGCTACATCAGATGGGCCTTCTCACTGTCCCCTCTGCAGGGGAAAAGAAGGGTCCTTGTGTTGGAGGAAAGTGGTCTTCCCACCCTCAAACCCCCACCACTCTACTTCAAGCTCATACCTTACCACCCAAACCCACTGGGAGGAGTCAGGGAAGAACATCACCAAGGTCCAACTACACACCAAGCTGCCCCCACTGCACTTGGTCCACTCTGCCACTTGTTCAACAGACATGGATAGGATACCATGCACCATGTACAGGCTAGGCACAGGCACAGGCACAGAGATTGATGAGGCTTCTGCCCCTTAGGAGCTTCCAGTATAACAAGCAAGACAGCCATTAAAAATAAGTAAGTGGAATACAGTGTGGTTATGTGTCATATTAGAGTAAAGGCTCTTAGCCTGGGTCCATGGATGAACTTCAGGATGTCCCCTAAAATTAATTGTAAAAAGCTATATATGAAGGATATTCCTGTTTGTCTCCCCACTGTATCTTCTCTTCCCAGTTTTGTGTCCCAGGAAGCTGACCTCTATGGACTCTGTCAGATGGGCTCATTTGCCTGTGGGCTTTTAGCTGTCTTTAGCCAGTGGGAAGCATCACTAGGAAATCCAGGTGCAGGAAAGAGAAAAGCAGGAGTGTATACTTCTCTACCAGTGGCCTCATTTCTCTGTCCAAGGTCATAGCCCTTACTAACTGCCTGTTAGGGCCACAGCTACAGCACTTCTTGGATCTCCCTGTGCTTTTCAGGCTTGTTGGGGGTAACTGCTTCCTGTTACTGGCTAGCACCAAGGTGTTTCACTATCCCTGTTAGGTTTCCTAAATCCTGCCCATATCTTTGTAAAAAGTGCCTACCTCAAACTTATTCCAATCACTTGAGTATACAGACCCCTGAAAATAGGTGAATCAGATCCTCAAAGGAGCCTCATCCATCTCTGTGCCTGTGCCTAGCCTGTACATGGTGCATGGTGTCCTATCTGAGGAGTCTTGACTAAAGAGTCTTGACATAACCTACTCCATTTTACAAGTGACTTTATTTTGTAAGAGACAGGTCACATCAAGAGGAAGTTACAAGAGTTACAAAAAATTTAACCAACACAGTTACCAAAACTGGCCAGATGCTCCCAGCCAATAGAAAGAAGACAACTCGCCCACCAGGCAGTCAAGATTCAGTAAAGGTCAGGTCATACCTAGGCCCGCTCTGCCCATGGCCCGTTCTGTGCACAGCCCACTCAGCACACAACCCCATTCCTGTGTATAAAAGGAGAATGAACTGGTACTTTGGGGTCTCCACCTGTGAGTGTGAGACCCCAGCATGCTGGCTACCCAATAAATGCTCTTGCTTTTGCATCCACACGTCTCCCAGTTATTTGGAGGTCAAATGCACGGACCCAATATTTGGGGGCTCGTCCGGGATCACACTCCCATAACCGGCGACCGTGCGGAGTGTGCAGGTAAGTGTGAGTGTGACTGCTGTGTTTGATTGCCTGTTGATGTGCTGTGTGCCCTTGTATTTGTGCTGTTTATCAGCGGAAACCTGATGTGGTGGTCCGAGGACTAGGTGGATGCACTATTTTTCCCCGCACCTTGGTGAGCACGGAGACATCCCTCACTCACTTCTGTTTTTTGGACTTTATTTTTCAGTCTGGCAGGAGAAGGGAGGTCGCTCTCTGACGGAGCCGTTTTATAGGAGAGGCCGTCCTCCTACACCTGGTTTCTGTTTCTTTTTGGAGAGCATGATGAAGCTCTTTTATGGGAGAGGCCGTCCCTCTTTGTCTGGTTTCTTTTTGGAAAAAGGCACCCTAACATTGTGTTCTCTGTTTGTATACTCATATTTGTCTGTCTTGTCTTCTTGTTTCTCTTCGGCATGGGCCAGCCGCACTCCCTCTACTCCTCTACTCCTCTGTCTATCTTCATATCTTGCTTCAGTGACTTTCAAACCCAGGCTAAAAATTTTGGTCTTGCTGTCAAAAAGGATAAACTTTCTATCTTTTGCAGGAATGAATGGCCTAAGTTCGAAGTCTGGTGGCCTGAAGAGGGCACGTTTGACCTCCCCACCATTTTCAGGGTCAAGGACCTTGTATATGGATGTCCTGGGCACCCCAACCACCTTCCTTACATCACCACTTGGCAGACTCTAGTGGAAAGTTGACTTAAATGGCTGGCTCCCCTTCTTCTGCCTTTAAAGGCAACCCTCGTGGCCACTGCCTCCTCTAATGCTCCAAGCTCCTCTAAGGCACCCCACAAGTCGAATCCCAACCCCTTGGTTCCTTCAGCCCCACCTCTTTATCCTGTCCTCTCCCCTTCAGACCCCTCTTCAGAAGATCCATCCTTTCCCCACCCACCACCATTTGGACCCACTCCTCTTCCCAATCCTTCTGAACCTTTACTTATGGAAGAGGAACCTGACCCAGAGGACCCACCCATGTTGATTAGTCTTCCCCATACTTGCTCTCAAGACTGATGAGCTCCCGAGAACACCCCAGGCACAGTGGCCCTACCTTTGCGGGCCAGGGGCCCGCTGGGCCCCGATGGCCAATAGTCCTTAGTTCGTTGGCCTTTCTCTACCAGTAATTTGTATAATTGGAAACTGCAGAACCCCCCCCCCCCCTTCTCTGAGAAACCCAGTAAACTTATAGACTTGTTGGATTCAGTCCTTTTCACCCACCAGCCCACCTGGGATGACTGCCATCAGCTTTTACAGGTTCTCTTCACTACTGAAGAGAGAGTCCTGAATGAAGCCCAGAAAGTAGTCCCAGGGGTTGATGGGAGACCTACCACGGATTTAAATATTATAAACATCAGATTCCCCTCGAGTAGGCCCAACTGGGACTTCAATATGGACGAAGGTAAGGAGAGGCTCACTGTCTACCACCAGATTCTGATGGGGGGTCTCCAGGTGGCAGCATGCCATCCCACCAATTTGTCTAAAGTAAGTCAGGTGAAACAGGAGCCCATAGAACCTCCTGGAACTTTCCTTGAGAGACTGCTGGAAGCCTACAGGACCTACACTCCCCTGGACCCAGAAGCTGCTGAAAACCGGTCCGCAGTAAGTTTGGCCTGTGTTAATAAATTGGCCCCAGACATAAGGTGGAAGTTACAAACATTAGAAGGTTTTGAGGGAAAAAGGCTAATCGAACTTTTGGCAGTGGCTGAGAAAGTGTTCAATAACTGAGACACCCCAGAAGAGAGACAGACCCACGGGTTGGCTAAGATTTTCTTGGCTAATTCATTAGAAGGTCCTTCCCAGAACCGAGAATTAAAAAGGCTGACTGAACAACAGGGCCCTCGAGATCCCAAAGCCTCCCCCAAGGGCTGGAACCCACTGCAGAGAGACCAGTGTGCCTACTGCAAAGAGAGAGGCCACTGGAAAAATGAATGCCCCAAGAGAGAAGCCAGGGAACAACCCAAGGTTCTCCAGATGGAAGGCTTAAATGACTGAGGGGGACGGGGTTCGGCTCCCCTCCCTGAGCTTGGGTAACCCTGAATGTGGAGGGGAAGCCAATGACTTTTATGGTTGACATTGGAGCAGAACATTCAATCCTTAAGAACCCTATGGGGCCTCTTTCTCCCAAACAGTCCTGGGTACAGGGAGCCACAGGATCTAATCCATATTCTTGGACTACCTGAAGATCTGTAGACCTAAAACTGGGATGGTTATCCCACTCATTTATGGTTATCCCTGAGTGCCCCTACCCACTTCTGGGGAGAGATTTGCTCTCTAAGGTGGGAGCCCACATCTACTTTGAGGGCGACTTGGTTTCCATAAACAACCAGAGCAGAGCCCCCATCAGCACTTACCTTATCGCTTAATGATGAACATAGACTTTACACTAGCCCGAGAAGAGAAAAAGACAACAATGAGCTCTGCCATAAGTGGCTAAAAGAGATCCCGGAAGTATGGGTCGAGACAGAAGGCATCAGGTGGGCAAAGCATTGGGCACCGATAGTGATCCAACTAAAGGCCACTGCCACCCTTGTCCATGTGTGGCAGTACCCGATCCCCCAAGAAGCAAAGGTGGGCATTGCCCTTCATATCCGATGCCTGCAACAGGCAGGAATTCTAGTCCCATGCCAGTTGCCTTGGAATACCCCTCTATTGCCTGTTAAGAAACAGGGACAAAGGACTTCCATCCGGTACAGGACTTGCAGGAAATTAATAAAAGGGTGGAGGACATCCACCCCACAGTCCCCAGCCCTTACACCCTTTTGAGCTATCTTCCACCTGACAGGGTCTTATACATCATCCTAGACCTAAAAAAACGCTTTCTTCAGCTTACCGCTAGCCACCTCGAGTCAACCGCTGTTTGCTTTTGAATGGAGAGATCTGGAGGACGGATTGAATGGTCAACTAACATGGACCAGGTTGCCTCAGGGATTCAAGAACTCACCAACCATCTTCGACAAGGCCTTCCACGAAGATCTGAGTGAGTACTGGTGTTTCCACCCAGAGGTGAGCCTGCTTCAATATGTAGATGATTTACTAATAGCTGCGCGGACAGAAACAGAATGTCAGGCAGCCACTAAAGATTTACTTATGACACTGGGAAAACAAGGGTACCGAGCATCTGCTAAAAAAGCTCAACTCTGTTTAGAAGAAGTCACCTACTTGGGATACAAACTCAAGGGGGGACACCAGTGGCTATCCCAGGCCAGAAAAGAGACTATTTTCCAGCTACCAAGGCCAGACTGTAGACGGGCTGTCAGAGAATTCTTGGGAACAGCAGGGTTCTGCCACCTCTGGATTCCTGGCTTCACCGAACTAGCTAAGCCCTTATATGAAGCCACCTGAGGACAGGAACCTTCCTTTGCGTGGACACCTGAGATGGAAGAAGCTTTTGTCAAAATCAGAGAGGCTCTCCTGCAGGCCCCAGCCCTAGCCCTCCCAGATGTTTCCAAGCCCTTCCACCTGTATGTAGATGAATGGAAGGGAGTGGCAAAAGGAGTTCTCACCCAGAAGCTGGGCCCCTGGGTGAGACCAGTGGCTTCTCTATCAAAGAAATTCGACCCAGTGGCCAGCGGATGGCCACCATGCCTCCGCATCATAGCCACCACTGCACTCCTTGTTAAAGATGCAGACAAGTTGACACTGGGCCAGACTCTTGTGGTCATGACACCCCATGCCATCGTGGGAGTCTTAAAATGCTCTCCTGACTGATGGCTGTCAAATTCGTGTGTCACCCACTATCAAGCTGTGCTCCTTAATCCGTCTCATATCCGCTTTACTGCTAGCAAAGCATTGAATCCAGCCACCCAGTTACCAGATCCAAATCTAGATTCGCCCTCACACGAGTGCGAGGAGATCCTCAGCCACCTACAGGGAACACGCCCAGATCTGGGAGATGTTCCCTTGTTGGATCCCGATACTACCTGGTTCATGGACAGAAGCAGCTTCATCAAAGATGGGGTAAGATATGCAGGAACAGCAGTGACTACAGAGATGGAAGTCGTATGGGCATCCCCCCTACCCTCAGGAACATCAGCTCAAAAAGCAGAACTGATAGCCCTCACCAAAGCTCTTCAATTGGCAAAAGGTAAGTGGCTAAACATATATACTGACAGCAGGTATGCCTTTGCCACAGCCCACATACATGGGGCCATTTACAAAGAAAGACGACTATTAACAGCTGAGGGAAGAACTATCAAAAACAAGTAAGAGATCCTAGACTTGCTACAGGCCATTTGGCTTCCCCAGGCAATTGCTATTATACATTGTCTCAGGCACCAAAAAGGCAAAGGGCAAGTCGCACGAGGAAATAATAAAGCAGACTTGGCAGGCAAGGAAGCCGCCCTAGCAGAGGCAGCCAAGGCCCTGGTAGCAGCCAACCACCGCCCCCCCCTCAACTGCTATTATTCCCACCTTACCGGAAGCACCAGAGTACACTCAGAAAGATCTGTCTGAGATCCAGAAGCAGGGACCACATTATGCTCATAAAGATGGACGATGGTATTGAGACCCAAAAGGGGACTATATTCTACCCTCCCTCCTAGCTGCCCAACTAGTCTCACACATTCATCAGGCCACACACCTGGGAGAGCGTAAAATGACAGAACTGCTCCAGAGCTCCCATCTCTGGGTCCATGGCCTCCGATTATTAGTCAGTCAGGCAGTCTCTTGGTATAAAGTTTGTCAGTTGGTCAATGCGAAGGGAGGAGCAACTGAAAAGGGGGTCCGAGAAAGAGGTACAAGGCCTGGAGCCTATTGGGAAGTATACTTTACTGAGGTCAAACCAGGAAAATATGGTTACAAGTATTTGCTAGTATTTGTAGATACCTTTTCCGGATGGGTAGAAGCCTTTCCAACCAAAAGAGAAACTGCTGTAGTAGTTGCCAAGAAATTCCTGGAAGATATTATTCCAAGGTATGGCCTTCCCGCTTTTATTGGGTCAGACAATGGACCAGCTTTTGTCTGCCACGTAACACAAGGGCTGAGCCATATATTGGGGACTAATTGGAAGCTACACTGTGCATATCATCCCCAAAGCTCAGGTCAAGTAGAAAGAATGAATCGGACCATTAAGGAGATTTTAACCAAATTAACCTAGAAACTGGCGGTGACTGGGTGACTCTCCTCCCCTTCATTCTGTTCAGGGTCAGGAACACTCCCTATAGATTGGGCATGACCCTGTTTGAAATCCTGTTTGGCAGGCCTCCCCAATCCTTCCCAATTTGCAAGCTGATCTGTTAGCTGAGCAAAAAGATAAAAACTTTCTTTCCTCCCTACAAGCTTTGTTTCAGGTCCAAGAAGTCTTACATCAGAACTTACAGGCAGTGTACTACAAGCCTCCCCCGGAGCCCCACAATTTCCAACCTGGAGACTTGGTACTGATCAAAAGACATCAAAAAGAAACCTTAGAGCCACGTGGGAAAGGACCTCACACAGTCATCCTAGCAACTCCCACGGCGATCAAAGTTGACAGGATAGCAGCGTGGATCCATCACACTCAGGTCAAGGCCGCTCCTAGAGATCAAGAGTCTACATGGACAATTCGAGCCCATCCGACTGACCCTCTGAGAGTAAAAATTATCCGACATGTGGCCATTTCTGGTTCTCTAGGCCTTAGCCCCGGAACTAATGGTGGCCGAAAGTCCCCACTTCCCAAGGAAACTTGAGTGGATCATCATCAAGTCCGAGACTGGAGACATTATCAACTCTACAGAACAAGAAGGACACCCTAAGTCATGGTTCCCCACTCTGTACTTTGATGTTTGTAAGTTGTATGGGACAAACTGGGGCTTAAGAGGGGACCCCAAGTATCCACGCCCAACCCAAGGGATAGGGGGTAGGACCCCAGGGTACCGAGACCTGACACGTCAACACAATTTCTATGTCTGTCCCAGACATAGCTGAAGTCAGTCTCAGCAGGCTAAATGTGGGGGCCCAGAACACTTCTCTGTGCCATCTGGGGCTGTGAGTCTATGGGTAAGATAGATTGGAGACCCTCTGTACAAGGTGATTGGATACAAGTTAGCCAGTCTGAGGGGCCTTCCTGCTGGAGTAACCCAAACTAACCCGATCCGCATTCGCTTCACCTCCATAGGAAAAACTAAGTGGGAAGAATGAAAGTTGGGGAGAATGTGGGGCCTTTGCTATTATGCAAAGGGAGCAGACCCCAGAGCTCTTTTTATGATTATGCTCCAGGAGGCCCCACTCTTGAATAAACTACCAGTCATCTGGGGACCGAACCCAGTGCCTCCTCCTCCCCCACTCCCAGAGGAACCTCAGCCTCCTCCTCCACTCCTCGAGAAACCTCAGAAATCTACCACAAGACCTACCTACCCTTCACCTAGGACAGATCCAGGGTCAGATTCAAAGCTACACCACTTAACCCCCTCCCCGTCCCTAACTGGACCCAGTCCCTTCCGCCTAGTAAAGGCCACTTATCAGGTATTAAATATTTCAAAGCCAGAAGTAACCCAGTTCTGCTGGCTTTGCCTAGACTCCAAACCCCCTTTCTATAATGGCATTGCTCTAGTAGCCAATTTGTCTACTGAGACAGACTCTTCCAAATGCTGGTGGTCCCAAAGGAGTTTTGAGCGTGCTCCTAGAGTTACCCTATAGGCCCTCACAGGGCAAGGACTTTGTGTTGCCACCAACTGACAGCTTCCTTACCCTCACTTATGTAGCCAGACCCTAATGTTACTTCCAAGATCCAATCATACCTAGTAGCCCCTCCCAACACTTGGTGGGCCTGTAAAACGGGAATAACCACTTGTATCCATGCTGACACCCTTAGAACTCATGATGATGTCTGCATTCTCATGCAACTCATCCCCTGGATAGTAGTGCACGGTGAAGAAGAAATAATTGATAGCTATTCCCTAATTCAAAAGAGTCTAAGCGGGCAAAAATGAGAAATTATTTCCACCATAGTAGTCTCTGCCATTTTGGGGGCTGGGCTGGCCAGTGCTGGTACAGGCATAGCATCTCTAGTCCTCCAAGATAAAAATTACAAAGCCCTCAGTGATGCTATGGACCACTATTTCCAAACAGTAGAACTTACTCTAGCCCAGCTAGAAGAGTCTTCGTCCTCCCTAGCAGAGGTTGTACTACAAAGTAGAAGGGAACTTGACTTACTGCTCTTGCAAAAAGGAGGACTATGTGTGGCCTTAGGAGAACAGTGTTGCTTCTATACCAACCACTCAGGTGTAATTCAAAATTCTTTGACTGAACTAAAAACTAGGATTCAAAACAGGCAGAGAAATAGAGCAGCCACCCAAAACTGGTATGAAAGCCTTTTCAGTTGGTCCCCATGGCTAACAACTTTGTTATCAGCAGTAGCAGGTCCCCTCTTACTTCTGATACTGGTTCTTACATGTGACCCCTGCCTTATCAATTCCCTCCCCAAATTTGTACAGAAATGGATCTCCACGGTCCAGCTCATGGTCCTTAGATCTCAGTACAGGCCCTTGAGTAAGGAAGACCCTATTCCGTTACTTCAAAGATTTGAAATAGAACAAAACTTAAGGGGGGAATGAGGAGTCCTGACTAAAGAGTTTTGACATAAGCTACTCCATTTTATAAGTAACTTTATTTTGTAAGAGACAGGTCACATCAAGAAGAAGTTACAAGAGTTACAAAAAATTTAACCAACACAGTTACCAAAACTGGCCAGATGCTCCCAGCCAAAAGAAATAAGACAGCTCGCCCACCCGGCAGTCAAGATTCAGTAAAGGTCAGGTCATATCTAGGCCCGCTAGGCCCGCTCTGCACACGGCCCACTCTGTGCACAGCCCACTCTGCGCATGGCCTGCTCTGCACATGACCCCATTCCTGTGTATAAAAGGAGAATGAACTTGTACTTTGGGGTCTCCACCTGCGAGTGTGAGACCCCAGCATGCTGGCTACCCAATAAATGCTCTTGCTTTTGCATCCACGCATCTCCCGGTTATTTGGAGGTTGATTGCATGGACCCAACACTATCCATATCTGTTGAACAAGTGGCAGAGTGGGCCAAGTGCAGTGGGGGCAGCTTGGTGTGTAGTTGGACCTTGGTGATGTTCTTCCCTGACTCCTCCCAGTGGGTTTGGGCAGTCAGGTATGAGCTTGAAGTAGAGTGGCAGGGTAGGGGGGGTGGGAAGACCACCTTCCCCCAACACAAGGACCCTTCTGTTCCCCTGCAGAGGGGACAGTGAGAAGGCCCAGCTGATGTAGCTGCTACCAGTACCTGTAGCCCCAGTACCAGTAACTCCATGCCTCAAAAAATGTAAAAAAGCCCTTAGAGCAGAGGTACAAACAAGGTTATTTGTGTCTCAGAGGAAGGTGTGCTATTCATAACTGCTGGCTTCATAGAAGAGTGCTCCTTTCAAAGTCCAAATTCAATCAAGTTATTCCCCTGCTTAAGTGGCTTCCCACTTCTCTTAGATTAAAGGGCAAACTTCATAATATGGCCCACAAAGCCCACCTCATCTGGTCCTCTGATCTCACCCCAAACACTCTTCCCTCGCTCTCTGTACGCCAGCCACCCTTACCTTTATGTTCTGTGCTTGTTCTTCTAGGCTCCATCCAGCCCTGTGGCCTCTGTGTATGCTCTTACTTCTGTCTGGAAATGCTGCCCCATTGTCTGTATTCATTCTCCAGGCCTTGGCTCAGGGACCCCCAGTCCAGGTCAAGTTCCTTTATCACATGCACAGGCCCAGTGGGACCCTGAATCCCTTCTTCAGAGGACATATCTCAGTCTATAACACATTTCGTGTTTGACAGTTATTAATGTCAGCCTTTCCCACTAAACTGTAAGTTCTATGATGGAAGGAACTGTGTCTATTTCTGCTCATCATTGTGTCCTCAGTGTAGTGTATGATACATCAGAGATGTTCACAAGTATTTGTAGAGAAATGAATGACTGAAGGTGATATTTCAGTCAGACCATGAAGAGTCTGTCTGCCAGGAAGAACTGACCAGTAGTCTATGAGGCCATCTAAAGGCTCAAGAACTGGCATGACTGCTCAGTACAACCCACTTGGACACTCTGAGGCAAAAGGCAAAGGCCCCCCAACACCTCCTTCCCAATAACCCAGAAACATTACCTTTACATCAAGGGGAAGTATCAACTCAAACTGGTTGTAAAACTCCTTGGAGCTGGACAACTGGTACTCCTCTGCTGTGCCCAAGAAGGCCTCAATGTCGTGCAAGGCAATGTCAACCCCTTCTCGTGACTGGCACTTGTCTACAGCTTGGGAAGCCAGGAGGTAGATTCCTGCTTCACACCACTGGCTGACCTTTTGAAAAGAAACACAGCACCCTGTGTAGTCACCTGCCCACAGCTCAGTCACCACAAGCCTCAGGAGATCTGAGCTCATCTGGGCTTTACAAGGATTCAAGGTAAATTGAGACAAAGGTAAATTGTTGGGGGACAGCATAAAGTTCAGAGGTCCAACCACTGTAAATACAACTGTCAGGTGGACAAACCCAAACCAATTTTCCATCTGTCGACTTCTCAGGGAAGTCACCCAGTCAGTAAAATGACTTGTATAAACATTCCTCTTTTTCCACTGATACTAAATGTTGCATCTCTAGGAGGGGAGAGTTAAGTATTTCTCAGTTTGGTCTAACCATAGAGAAATGTAACCCATGACTTTTTGGGTTTACCTTCTGGGCTACTTGTCTGGCATCCTAGTTGGGCTACAAGAGCACAGGGTGACTGATGGATGAGGTCTTAGAACTGTTGCCTACCTGCCTTCTTGGGGGAGGGACTATCCCTTTTAACAAAAACACCACTTTCCTCTGTTCACATTTACATTCATTGGCATTTGTCTTCCCTAGGGCAGCATCCCAGAAGGCACAGCTTTGTAACTCAGATCTGCAATACATTCCAGAATTCTGATATGAAATCAGGTGATGAATTTTAACAACTCAATTTTTAAAAGATGCAAACAGAAAGCAGGAAACTTTGTGCTCCCTGGAGAGTTATATGAAAAGTTGCTGCCAGTGCAAAACGTCTGCATTTCCATTTACCATGTGATCTAAAGAGCCACATAAAATAACTATAGAGGGCAAAAGATCAAAGGGAGCACTCCAAAGTAGTTATCGCTAAGTGGGGAAATTGCAGATAACTTAAATTATCTTTTTTCCCCTAAATTATCTACACTGAATGTGTACTACTTTTATAACAAAAAACAATAAAGGTATTTAAAAATTAGCTACTACCACTGTTTGGGGATGAGGAGAGGAGTGGGATGTGTAGGTGTCCATGAGTAACTATTTTTCTCCCCCTTCCTACATTTTTGGATTTTCAAAACAATATGAAGTCATGTTTGATACATATTGTGAAAATTTTCTCTTGAAACATTGTGCCTAGATTGCAGGAAACATTAAATTGGAGTCTCCTGCAGAGTCACAGTGGCTACTTGCTCCACCAGACAGACAGACACACACACACATTTACACATCAGCATTAGGCTATTATCTCCAGAGCAGAAATGGAGTGAGGAAACCAGCAGCTGATCCTGTAGAGAGCTCAGCCCACAGAGCAGGCTGTGCACCAGGCTCTTCCAAGCCACTTGCTTCTGGAACAGCTGTATTTCATTGACATTAAAATCCCTATGCAATGGGATGATGTAAACAGCCTGGGTGGGTGCCCCAGCCAACAAAGAAACAGTTGTGAGAGTGGAGCCTGCTGACTCATGGCTGCTAGCCACATGCTGCCTGGGAACAGATGCCAGGGAAGGCTCCAGAAGTCACTGCCCTGCTGACTGGGCACTCGCCCCAGAGAGCACCACCTAAGGGCACCAGGGGCTGTGCTCCACCCCTGGAAGCTCTCTGCGCACAATGTTGCTGCATAGCCTGGGGTTTGGAATTTGGCAGTTCTGACTTGAACTCTACCATCCCCTATTTACTCCACGTGTGGTCTCGGGCAATCACTTACCCAGGGTTTCCAGTGTCCTTGCCGTACCACCTGCACCTGAATCACCTGGGCACGATGAAAATGCTGATCATCCCAGCTTACGAGTCTGGGTCTCCAGAGTGGTGCATTAGGGAATCTGTGATTATAATCACCAGGTGATTCTCATGTGCTAAGTCCTGTGACCCATCAACTTAACCAGGCTGAGGATCAGTTTCTGCTTTTGAAAAATGAGGCCATAAAAACCTTCCTCATAGATTGCCTTGAGGATTAACTAGATAACATAATTATGATCCTGATAGAAACATAGTATGTGCTCAATATATGGAAGGAATGTATAATGGTCATTATTACTTAAACTTTTCCAAAAAGATTCATAGTCTGATACCGTTATATGAAGAGAAGCACTTTGTAAATATAGTTCTTGGTTGTATGTATGCCTGAAGGGGAATCAAGAAATGTCCCACAGAGCCAGATCAAAACACACTCTTTATGTCTGGATCCACAGAGAGGGAACCAGACTTTAATTCTTTCTAAGGGATGTAGTGGGATGGCTGGGGCACATTGACCTTCAATACCTTTACTACCTAGAATCTGCACCGTTTTTAATGCCTCTTGAGCACTGTTTCACATAAGGTTCTTTATCCTCTCAGCAATCATGTGGAGCAGGGGGGACAATATGATTAAGATAGTTTTACAGAAAATTTTGCAGACATCATGGTCACGGCTATTTTGCTCACCTTGTCCAACCTTCTATGCAACTCCAAGGACTTTCCTAAAATGTCACATTTTTTCTTGTTTTCGTTGATGAAGTCATCACAGAGGTGCCTGAGCTCCACACACCTGGATCTGATGGAGTCCACTGCAGAGTGGTAGCTTTGGACGAGCTGCTCCCCAGTTACTGCAAGCAGCTGGGCCTTTTCCAAGAGCTCCTGTGAAGTGAGCATCCACAGACAAGCATCAGACGCCAGGGCACGGGGAGACTGATGTTTGCTTGGCACTGTGTGCTCCCAGCCTGGAGGGAGGCTAGGGGCAAGTTGATTCAGGTCTTAGGCTGAGAGTCTAGGGCTGGGAAGCCTGGGAAAGCTCTGTGGTACTTCCAGGTCCCCAGGAATCTAGCCTAGTCCAGGCCATCTGCACACTGAAAAAAAGTAAGTCCTTCACCTTCATTTAAATATTTGTTGAGTTCTGGGTTGGATACTGAGGATATAATGTTAACAAGTCAAGAATTTCCAGATATTAAATAGAGCTTACAAATAATCAAATTATTACAACTGTGATAAGTTCTAGAGCAAAAGAACATGAAATGTTTCTACACAGAAATAGAGATGCTGAATTCCCCTGTCAACCGAACAGAAAAGGGACAGACATGTGGCCCTGAGGAGAGTGGGGTGGGGGGGACAGTAAGGTGAATTTGAGAAGTTAGTGAAGATCTGGTTTTATGACTCTATGGGGGAGTCATGAGACTTAGAAATATGTTTATCTAAACCCCTTCCTGTGCCCAGAAGGCCCTTGACTGCTCTGGTTTCACCTGCTTAGCAAGCGCATCTCCTTCCTCTCTTTGCATGGCTTCCTTTGTTCTAACCACATATGCCATGCTTTTCTGTTTTTAATTCATTTATCACATATTACTGAGGATCTACCACATGCCAAACACTGTCCTAAGTGTTGGGGTTCAGTGGTAAACAAAGAAAAAACCCCTGCCCTCATGAAGATTACATCTGAATAGGGGACACAGGCAACAAACTATTATATATATAGATTAAATAATATTTTAGGAAGTGATGAGTGCTGTGGAGAAAAAACCCAGCAGCAGGGGCAGGGCACAGAGTGCAGATGGAGGAGTTGCTACTTTAAATAGGACAGTGAGAGAAGAACTTCCTGAGAAGGTGTTCTCAGGCCATGCAGAAGAGATGACAGTGCAGGCCGAGGCTGCTGTCCTGGGGAAAGCCTCTTGAAAGGCTGGCCCCTGGGTGGCATTGAGGAATGTCAGGAGGGTTCCTCCTATCCCCTGAGAAGAACGGCTCATCATGCCCAACCTGTTTGTGCAAACAATATGCTTTATGCTGAAACCCTGCTTTCTGTCTGAGAGTCTGGAATTCTGGCAGGCAGACCACCTATATGACCAGCCCCAGTAAAAACCCTGGGCACTGAGCTCCTGATGAGCTTCCCTGATAGACATTCCACAATGTTGTAACAACCCACTGCTGGGGGAATTAAATACATCCCATGGGACTCCATGGGGAGAGGACTCTTGGAAGCTTGTGCCTGGTTTTCTCAACTTTTCCCCATGCACCTTTACCTTTTACTGATTTTGCTTGGGATCCTTTCACTGTGACAAATCATAAGTACAAGTATAACTATGTGCTGAGTCCTACGAGTTCTCCTGGCAAACCTTCAGATCCAAGTGTGGTCCTGAGAACCTTTGAGGAACAAAGACCTGAAGTGAAGGACAAGCCACATAGGACTTGACTGAGAGGTGGGGGTATGTTTGACATGTTTAGGTGGCAGGAGGAGGCCACTGCAGCTGGAACAGAGGATATAAGCAGGAAATGAGGGTAGGAGACTCAACAGAGAGGAAAGAGGGGGATTGGTTTGGGAAGGGCCCTGCGGCCACTGTGAGCACTTTAGCTTTTACTTGTTGGGACATGGGAAGCATTGGAGGGCTCTGAGGCGAGGATCTCATTCATATGTTTAAAAGGACTGCTCCAGCTCTAGTACTGAGAATGGCAGAGAAAAGGCAAGGCAGGGAGACCAGCTGGAGAGCTACTGAAGTAACCCAGGTAAGAGGGGGCTTCAACAAGACTGGCGACCACTAAGCTCCTGCCTCAGCAACTGTCTTGCCAATGGTTTTCAGCCCCGGGGCAAGTTCACTATGGATTCAGTGTGACCAAAGAAAATGACAGCAAAACGTTCTTGGGGTGAAAGGGTTATACCCAACTTTATTCTCACAATGGCAAGTCAGTCACTAAAATCCCATTCACTCAGAGTGAGTCTGCAGGCAGCAGCAAGCTGGTCTCTGCCTCTGGGCCCCTCTGTCCTCACAGCCATCCCGCACAGCCGTCCTCCGGGCCTCTCTGCACAGTCGTCCCGCACAGCTGTCCTCTGGGCCTCTCTGCACAGTCATTCCACACAGCCATCCTCTGGGCCTCTGTCCTCGGTGCTGCCACCACTCCAGCCTCTGCTCTGCTCTCCTGCAGCCTTGTAGCCCTGCCACCATGTCGTGCCCAGAGCACTGGGCAGAGCTCTTTATATAGAGTCAACAGCCATGTAGTGCTCACAGGTGTGCAGTGAGCTAGTCAGCCAGGGCCAGGTTAGAATCCTGGCCACAGGAGCTCTCATTTTATCCACAGCGACCTTCCCTGTTTTTTTAACTGTTCTGTTCACCGCTGTGTCCTCAAGGCTTAGCACAGTGGTTGGCATGGTAGGAGATCAACAAATATTTGCAAAATGAATGAAAAGTGATTGAGACCATTTTACTAGAGCTGCTCAGCCACTGCAGATTGAACCTAGGATACATTCTATAGCATAGAATTTACCCCACTACTTCTGTGAGATGAATGACAACAGTTAACATTCCTGACAGCTTACTATATACATGTTAGGCACTGTTCTGAATGCTAAAATTGACTTAAATTTCCCTTTACTCCTCACAAAAAACCCTTTAATGGAGGCACTGTTTTATAGAAGAGAAGTGGAGACACAATGGCCCATGGCAACCCATGGCAACTTCAAATTCAGGCAGTCTGGTTCCAGAATCTGGTTCTGAACAACACACACACACAAAAATGGCTGCACTTGCTCTGCACTTCATGAGTTTGATGAAAGCTGTCCAACTTTAAGTCAAATATAGAAGCATAAAAACTTGGCAAGGAAGTCTCTGTTGATTCTTTTTTTAAAAGTACAGCTGCCTAGTTTATGAAGAATAGCACATGTTTTCTGGGCCCAGGAAACTTCACCACAAGATATTTCCCACGTACCCTGTAGTAATTACAGTGTGCCATTCACCTGACATGCAGCACCTCACCTGTCAGAACTGCTCTTAAAACAATTGAGATGTTGGAGGAAAGATGTACCATGTCTTGGGGTCTTGGGAAAAGATCCATAAATATAACTCAGGAGCCAGCATTGGAAAGCTGGAAGTTCATTCTACTGAAATGATTTGATAATAATAATAGTTCCTGAGTTCCGGCCACCTACTACACTCCAGGTGCTTTTAAGACTTTTCCACAGTGCTACCTCATTTCATCTTCACAGGCACTCTGAGGTAGGAATTATTATTACCTGTTTTACAGAGGAGGGGATTTGTTTGAGAAGGCTAGAAACTTGACTAAGATCACAAAGTCAGTAGTTATCGAGTAGAGATTTGAATCTAGTCTGTTTGGCTCCAAAGCCTGTGTCTCATCACCTTCTCTTCCACTTGGCCTCCCCGCAGGCACCATGAATGACAGACTGTAACTCTCAAATCCTTCAGGTGCCTACTAAGACAGTTCCTATAAAACCTTCAAGTCACAGCTACTGTTACTTTCTACAGCTTCTGCTCAAGATAATCAGGCAACGAAATCACAAAAGCAAAAGAGAAATAATGAGAAAGGAATGGCTGAAATATGGTCCACTGATCACAAGCATGCATGGCTTCTTTCAGATGCTGAAAATCCAGAAGCCTGGATAGTCAAGTTGCAACATATAATGTGGAAATCTTTTTCATGATCACTTACTCCTCCCTGACTCCCTGTGCAAGGACTCCACTACTGTGACAGATGAAAGAAGGAAGTGTCTGCTGTGGAAGAAAACAGTGAAAAAGGGTGATTTATACCAGGGAACCCAGAACAAACTCACAGATAACGGCATAGGAATGGAATGTATCTATGAGGAAGTGGGCCAGATAAAACAAGAAAGGCAGAAAGTTAATGGTGTTGAAACCGACTGATAGACAGATGGGAGTTCATTGCTGCTTTTGTGTGTGTTTGAAAATTTCCATTAAAAAAAAAAGCCATGCCCCTCCAGGCAGATCACATCGCTAGGAGGTTAATGGGATAGGTTCCATGCCTTTGGACACAGACTGTAACTGCTGGCCCCCCGGCCTTGTGGGGAGGGGTCAAGGCTGAAATCGGGTTGGTTCCCTGGCCCTGTCTTGGTCTGTTACCTGATGGCCCATCAAGGAAGGCCTCAACATGACTTACAGCCAAATCCCTACAGCAGATTCTGCTTTTAAAGAAGTAAGAAGGGGTGTAGGGTAAAATCACTGTTTCCAAGAGTTAGAAATGAATGCTCAAATGCTCTAATAAGTAGAACAAGATAAAAAAACAGGCTCAATTATCGTGTAGCAGGAGTCTGGTTAGTGTGGCTCAGAGGCTACTCACAAGGATGGTGACACTGCACAGAATAAGGAAGTTGGCTTCAATCCGGACATCAGTGTATGGCTATGATGAGAGGGAACCTGGCCACTGAGTGCTGAGTGCTGAGTGAAGGACAAGCCCAAGGAGGTTTGGTGGATCCTAGTCAGACAGCACCTGTTCCTTTAAAACTTTATAGAACAAATGGCAAGATTAGCCAAGGCCTAACCACCTGAAGAAACAATGCTTCTTAGAAGGCATGTTTAAAAAAGTCCCAGTTATGAACAGACCCATAGATCAATGGAACAGAATACAAAGCCCAGATATAAACCCACATATATATGGCCAATTAATATATGATAAAGGAGCCATGGACATACAATGGGGAAATGACAGCCTCTTCAACAACTGGTGTTGGCAAAACTGGACAGCTACATGCAAGAGAATGAAACTGGATCACTGTCTAACCCCATACACAAAAGTAAACCCGAATTGGATCAAAGACCTGGATGTAAGTCATGAAACCATAAAACCCCTAGAAGAAAACATAGGCAACAGTCTT